TCACCATGATTAAACACTTTTATAACAATAAAAGTTCTGTACCATCGAGATCGCAATTTTCCCGGGAATATCTTTTAGCGTGAATGATAAAGAAGAACTTCTTGACCCGGAATAAAGTGTTTTTGGGTTATGTGCTTGCCATGAAATGCCTTTTTCTTCTCTTTGCATCTTTTGAACCTTTTAATTATCTTCTTCTTGACCACTTCCATGAATGGAAGATTCAATCTTCTTTGAGCCTCTCTCTTAGGCTTGCAATCATCTTCCATGAGAATTTTATGTGTACATACATTAGGGCTTATACCGTTTATTGACTCAATCACATCAACCCGGTACAATGGAGAAATGTTGCTAGGGTACCCCATTGCTTCAAATATGTTGAAGTGAATGATCTCTCCATCGAACTCCATAGTAGTTTTCCCTTTATGGACATCAATGATCGTGTGAGCGGTATTCATGAATGGTCTTCCAAGGAGGATCATAGATGATTTGGAAGGGGTCTTCTCTTCAAGATCAATGATATAAAAATCTGTGGGAAAAACAAGTTGATTAACTTGTACTAACACATCCTCCAACACTCCTCTTGGAGACACACTTGACTTGTCTACTAATTGAATGATTACTCCGGTTTCTTCCAAAGGTCCAAGATTGAGAGATTCAAAAACCGAGTATGGCATCACATTGATCGAGGCTCCAAGATCTAGCATTGCACTTTCAACATGCAAATCACCAATAGTGCAAGGGATAACAAGCATTCTCGGGTCCTTGCATTTGGGTGGTAACTTCTTTTGGATGATCGCGGACACATTTGCATTGACTTTGATCTTTTCATTCGCCTTGAATTTCCTCTTATTGGTGCACAAATCCTTAAGAAACTTGGCATAGCGCGGAATTTGCTTTATGGCATCCAATAATGGAATATTGATTTGGACCTTGCGGATAGTCTCAAGAAACTCTTTCTCTTCCTCTTGTTTCTTTGAAGGAGCCAACCGGGAGGGAAAAGGTGGTGGTATGACCAATGGTTTAATGGTCTTGTTGGAAGAGTCGGGCTGGTCAATGTTTGGCACAATCGGGTCCTTTGGAGTAGAGACCACCCTTGAAGGTTCAACAATAATAACTTCATCTTCTTCTGGCTCTTGAAACTCTTTTAGGTTTGCTTTCTCCAAGTGTTTTCCCACTTATCAAGGTTATTGCACTCACATTGGGGTTCTTCTCGGTTTGAGATGGGATTTTACCCCTTTGTTCCATCTTTTTTGAGAGCGGTGGTCAAGTCTCCAATTTGTGCTTGAATGTTGGAGAAAGTGTTCTTGGTCATTAGTTGAAATTGGGTTTGGCTTTGAGCAAGAGAAGTAACGAGTTCATGAAGACTCATTTGATGGTTACCACTTGATTGGCCTTGTTGTTGAGGTTGTTGGTAATTTGGAGGGGGATGAGACGTTTGTGGATATGGAGGTTTTTGTGATGGGTATTGTGGATATTGGGGTCTCATCATAACATTTGGTGGGTTTTGCTTTGGTGGGTATGGGTTGTTTGGGTTATTCCTCCAATTTGGGTTGTAGGTATTTTGAAAGCCCATAGGTCTTGGTTGACCTTGATATCCTCCCATTGCATTAACATCCTCCGGTTCACTACCAAGTGAAGGACACTTATTTGTATAATGTCCCGTCATTGCACAAATTCCACACACCATTAATTATTGACCACTTCCCACCACCATTTGACTTAACACATTAGTCAAATCCAAGAGCTTTTATTCCAAGTGTTGGGTGTTGCTAACTTCACCGACCACTTGTGGAGAATTTCTCTTCATTTCATTGCGAGTCCCAAAGTTCCTTTGATTTTGAGAAATGGTTCCAAAAAGTGATCTTATCTCTTGAGGTGTCTTGTTGAAGATGTCACCACCACTTGAAGCATCAATCATCCTTCGATCTTTTTCATTCATGCCCTCATAAAATTGTCGAAGAAGTAGTTGTTCGGGTATGTTGTGTTGAGGGCAACTTGTACACAAGTTGTTGAATCGCTCCCAAAAATCATGAAAAGTCTCATTCTCCCCTTGACGAATCCCCAAAATGTCACTTCTTTGACTTGATATCCAGGAGGTGGGATAGAACTTGCTATTGAAGGCTTTGAGTAACTCTTCCCATGTGTGAATAGATCCCGATGGTAAGTTAAATAACCACTCTCTATCTTTATCTTCCAAGGTGAGAGGGAAGGTGGTTAACTTGAAATCATCCAATGTCACATGTTCGGGTAACATGCTAATACATATCATATGAAAGGACTTCAAATGCCTTTGAGGATCTTCTCTATCCAAACCATGGAAATTGGTTAGTTGATGTATGAAACTTGACTTCAATTCAATCCCTCGGCGGTTTGCGGGATAAACAATACCAAGAGGTATGTGAGTAACATCCGTCTCCATCATTTGTCTAAGTGTCAACTCTTGAGGGGGGGTTGGGTGGATTGGGGTTATTGGGATATTGTTGCATGTAATTGGGAGGTTGTTGGTAAGGTGGGTATGGGTATGGTTGGTGATTATACATTTGTGGTGGATAAGGTTGGTAGTTAGGGTATTGGTTGTAAGGAGGTTGTTGTTGGGGGTACATTGGTTGTTGGTACATTAGAGGTTGTGGGTAATGAGGCTGATTTGGTTGATGTGTTTGTGGTTGTTGAACTTGAAAAACATTGTTTTGAGGTTGGTTGTTTTGATGGAAGTTTTGGTTTTGTGGTTGTGGTTGTTGATAATTGGGTTGATGAGGGGGTTGATTCCAAGGTGGCATATCTATGAGAGGTTCTTGGTGTTGTTGTCTTGGTTGTTGGGGTGGGGTATTGGCATCTTGATTGTTTGGGTTTGGGTTGGGATTGTGATCAGGTGGAGTGTGATTCATGGCTATGTAGTTTTCAAAAGGAATGTCTTCAAAGGAATGACCAACAATTGGAGAACTCGGCTCGGTGTCGGTATCACTTGAAGTATGAACTTGATTTTCTATGTTGATTAGTGGAGAAGAGGAAGAAACTTGAACGAGTTGTTGTTGCTTTGCTTGTTTGGCTAACTTTTTCAACCTTTTTGCTTCTTTTTCAATCTCCGGATTGTAGAGTGGTTCATCGGTTCTTGTAGACCTAGGCATAAACAATCAAATAACAATAACCAATTTCCCCGGCAACGGCGCCAAAACTTGGTGGGATGTCAAGTCCACCAAGCAAATTACACCCTTTGTTTGCAAATAAAACGTAATATAATGGTAAAAAGGGGTATCGATCCTCGGGGAAATGGTTGTATTCAATCACCAATGCAATCCAATATAACTAGTTTAAATAAACTAACTAACTACAATTAAACTAAAAGGGGGGGGGGTGTTGTGATTGCTTGAAAACTAAAAGACCTGAATAACTAAAAAGCTTGCAATTAAGCAAGATGATGAGATGCTCAAATATTGGAGAGAATTGGTTAACCAAGGCAATTCAACACAATGAACATTTGTGTGTTTATCATTAGGATTCATCATGAAGCTTATCATTCATCCCAAATTGGTTATAGCAATCATGAAGCATGATATGCCAAGATTCCTCATAGGTAGTATGGAGGTTGGGGAAGCCCACAACACACCTTCTTAATCAAAATCAAAGATCCAATTGAAGCAATTGAACCCAAGAAGTTGATTAGCCTTAAGAATGAAGGAATCCCCAATTCCTAGAGGATGTCAATGCTTACACATCCATAAAGGAGTTATGATTCATAAGCTAGAGATGATTTCTACCATCATAAAGCCCTTGTTCTAAGTAAATTCAATGACTCAATGCTAAACCAAAGAAATAAACCAACAATTGCTTATTCAAGTACCAAGCTCATGATCAAAGCATTAAACAAGCATAGGAAATATGAACTAGAATCATAGACATAAGATAAATGATAAATAAACATGAATCCTTCAAAAACCCACAAACATTCAAAGGTTTTAGCCAATGCTAACCAAAATAGAGAAATTAGCCACTCATGGCAATAGAATAATAATCACAAAAGTCTAATTGCATAAAGAAACTACCAATAACTTGGAAAGATGAAAAGAATGTGTATCCAAGCTCCCAAAATCGCCTCCTCTGGTCTCTAATGGTGTAAAATCGAAGTGATAGCTGATAGATCCAATCCCCCAAGGTAATGGCAAGCCAAATGACCAAAATGCCCAAAACTGGGCAGTTACGCGGGTACCCACGCGACGGAGATTCCACCCGCGCAAGTGTTGCTGGAATGCTATTGGCTCATTTTCCCTCCACTAACCATTCTACTAGCAAAGATTCCCTTGGTCCCCTCCATATCCCACATGATTCAAATTAACCAATCATCTTTTAGCTTCAAATATGGATGCTCCAAGCCCAAAATAACAATTCATGATCCATCTTCACAAGCCCACTTCATCCAAGTCTTTATCCTTTTTAAGCCCAAATCTCCTTTAATGGATCCGCAAAGCCCAATAATGTCTCGGAAGCCCACAAAGCCCATTTCCAAGTTAATCCACAACCACAACAAGCTCCAAAATCCTACAAAATTTCTCATGCAAAATAGAAAGTCCCAGATACGATCCATGATAAAGAAAAATAAAGAATATACAATGCAATATTAATAAAAAGATAAAATAAATTAATAAAAATAAGGAAATAAAATAAGCTATCATCATCCTGTTTTTCCAAAGTCAACAATTCTCCCCAATTACTAACAACTTTCTTAAAAGTTGAGTGACACCAAGCAAGAAGCGGAATACCTTCTATTTGAACACGTATAATTCTTTCATCACACACAAAATTATCGTCCCAAGGCTTCAAAGTAGAGAACCACGAATTGATACTAGCATGATTCAAGAATTGATGTCTAGTTTCAGCAGAACTGAAATCAAGGAGCACCCAACAACCACCAACATACAAATAATCCACATCCATAAAACCTTCTCCTTGGCAAATACTACGTGTGTTTTCAATTGATCTAAAATCCTTATAACAACCAATAAGTGTCAGGGGTAGTTTGGTCTTTGGTTAACATTACAAGCAATATTAACATTAGACATATGGGATTTAGATTCCAATTTCACCTCCTTATCCACTGTAATTTTGTCACCAGACAACACCTGAGCATAAGAAGTCTTCCCCACCAGATTACCACTAAAATTATTCACATCACCATTATTAGAACCAGGAACAGACCGAGTCTTAATATCCTCCCTAGCGAACCTAGCCAAATTGGCATGCAGTCTAAGATTTCCAATTTTAGCATTGCAAAGAGAATTCAACAAAGATTCCTGATTACTCACCCTAATAAACCTGGCAAATGCAAACATTTGTCCCAGATTATTCTTCTTCTTAGCAATGAACACATCAACTACTACCCCCATACGACCACAGATAGTTAGTGGATTTCTTTCAGTAATTTTATCTAGATTTGAAGCGGATGTGACGTTATCGTCAGTAAATGAAATAACAAACTAAATGTAGAAAATAAATTCATATGTCAATCTAAAATTTTATAATATTTTAAACTATTTAAAATATTATATTTAGTTATATTATATTTAAACCTTCAAATTTAATGTGTCTTGAGATACGAATTCTACCGATAAAACGTTAAACGGATCAGATTCTGGTGCATACATTTGTAGTATATAATATGTTAGTTCATCAACAAAAATATATAAAACAAAATTGAATAAGGGTAGTGTTTGTAGTATTCTTCGTAAACTAATGTTACTTGTTCGATGTTATTTTTTTCCAATTCAACAATGATTGTATTATCAATAGTGAAGTTTGAGATTGCATAACCATCAACTTTGTTCTTCAAATTATAATATGAAATTTGAATTTTGAACGCCAACATTTTATGCAAAGATACATTCAAATCAAAGGGATAAATCTCTATATTACCCTCTTAAAAAAATGAACGATTATAAAAATAGATAGACAAAAAATAAAAACTAGTTTTATGTAAATAAAGTTAATACCGATAACCTCATTAAACTTTTGAAGCTACTCGTGTGCGGTTTTTTCCAGAAGTTTCTTTGTGTCACGATCAAATAACATAAGTGACACCACAGTGGTAAGTCTTGTGTTCTAATGGTGATTTGGAAACTAAAACAATTAATGTAAACAAACTAGTAATATAAAATTAGAAAATTTAACTGAAGATTTTAATAATATGTATAAAAGAATTATTGAAAACCTTGGAACAAGATATATGTCTTTGTTCATGCAAGTTGAAGTGTAACAATAAAAAACTTATTTATCTTGCTTTAGGTCCGTTCCACAGTTTTGACATCATGCATTAAAACGACTTTTATGGCTTTCTTTTGACATTTAGTACAAGCCAAATAATATCATTCCACATCTCTACACACATGCTTAATCGTACCGACAATAAGCAATGTTTTTTTTTCTGAGAAATATTGATGCGAGTTTAAATTATATAACAAAAAAAAAAAGCAAAATGAAATATGATGGTAAAATTAATCGAAAAACTATTTGACATAATGTATATTTTATAAATGAAAGTTAAGTATATAAACATCATCTACTTGTTGGAGACTAGCATTAACATAAAAATCAAACTTATGAAGGAAATCGTCATTTTCAGAGTAGATGATGGAGGAAGAAACGTTGCTACAATTAGCAGATGTGCTTTCTAGACCGACTTTGGCAATAAATCTTAACAATAAAAAAGATGTTATTTTTGTTGCTTTAAAATATAAGTAAAACAGTAATAATATGCAAACAAAATAATAAGGAATTTATCTAACTACTCAATAGGATCATTGATGAAGATCCTAGTCGTAGTGAAGCAATTTGTGATGGAGAAACGTTCTGAAACGATGCATAATGAAGTTATTATAAATGTATATTCATTTATAGTAAAAAGAAGAATAATATTTTGAAATTTTTTTAAGGTGTAAGTTGTGAATCAAAGTAATGAACAAACCCCTATAATAAAATATTTTTCCGCACTGAATAAAAACTACCATACGTTTGTTTATTATTTTCCAAATAGCCAGTCAAGTGTTGTGCATACCATCCCAAAGTGTTACACTTATTTGTTTGCTTTTACAAAACCAAAAAAAATAAATAAATATACAATATAAAGTAAAATTTGACACAAAATTTTGAAAAGTAAACTCTCTAGATCTTCCAAGCTCAAATTGACTCTCTTTTATAATTTATTTTTCTTGTTTATAAGAGTTTCCACAGGGAAGCATCGCACAACATCTTCAATAACATTTATTATATACGATAAAAAATGGAAGATTAGTATAAAAGTTTTGGTACGATGAGTAATGGTAAATAGGATAATATCTTTATATAAATCATTAGATTGTAATATATAAACTAACCAACATGTGTGTTCTCAACAAAGACACCATCAAAATGGCATTGAAGTTTGCAAAAGAGAATCCATAAAGTGATCACGTCCACTCATTGCATGGTGTAACTTTGGTTATGATATAAATATTGATTTTGTTTTCGTTATCAACAAAGTTATTTCTGTTTTGATTAAGACCAAGTTGTGGATTTTGGATGTAGTAACAATCATCCCCATGAAGCAAACTTTAAATCTTTCAATCCATCTATTAGTAACCTCTGTCTCGGTCTTCCTTCCCTAAATGCACAAAAAACCAGTTTATATATTGTTATATGTGGTTAGAATGAAATTGTAAGAAAATTCATAAATAAAAAAATTTGTTATTACATGTTCATCAATGAGAATCATATCAATTTTGTAAGTCTTTGTTGAAGATCCATATGCAAGATGTTTCATGAGACGGATTATTCTTACTCTCATGGTAAGTTGACATTTTGAAACATCAAGTTTGGTCTATGAAGGTAATGTTGCTTTGAGCTGTGTTTCTGTTTGTGAAAAATTAATGATTGTTCAACATATGTGACTCAACCAAGTAATATAGACCGAGTAAAATAGGCAAAAAAAGAACAATTCAAAATCATAGCGTCAGAGTTGAAATATAGTTTTAGTGACGGAATTTGTAACTTTTGACATAACTCAAGGACGCCGAATGTAATTTAGTCTAAAACATATCATGTAGAAAGTCTTTTGTATGTAATCAAAATCAAAGTTATAAAAATCAAATAAAATTCTTATCATCCAAATATGAATGATGTTATATATACTTTTAAAAAACCTCATAATGCAAACCTGACAATAAAGTAAGTATAAATAGTTTTTGTTGTTGTTCATAAGAAAACATATCAAGAAGTATATATCATTACTCGTTTAGTGTGATACCCTTCAAATCTAAGTATTTTTATTAAAATATATGTTTACAAAAACAGTTTAAAACAACAATGTACTTTCAAAGCATATTGTTGTAATTTATAAAATATTTTTTTTAAATGGACAACAATATATAGCAATATAAATTATTTTTTAAAGCCATTTTCTATCTAATAAAAAGTTGGTATTTACGTATAAATTAACAAAAATTTTATAGATTCGTAGTTTTGACTTATATACCTAAAAAAACTGACTATGTAGTTTTAACTTTTTTATTTGTTTACAAAAACAGTTTAAAACAACAATGTACTTTCAAAGTACATTGCTGTAATTTATAAAGTATTTTTTTTAAATGGATATCAATATATAGCAATATAAATTATTTTTTATGTTCATATAGATAGCATACTTTAACATCCAAAATGACCGTATTTCTCATGTATACTATCATATTCATAATTTTAAATGAGTAAAATATTAAGGAAAAATTTTTAGTAGTAGAAGGGGGGCAACAGTGACAGGGGTAGGGGTATTTTAGGTAAAGAGAACGTATACATAGATGTTATTCTGCACTCATTCATCATGCAAATAGTATTCAATATAGAAGAGTATTTTTATGTGGTGTATAGAAATATACTAGTTCATTCCTTGATATATACCATTGTATTTGATTCATGATTACATTTGATAACCCTCACATATTAAGAAAATCGATTGCACAAGTTTCAGGAATGTTGCAAACAGAGGATATAACGTCTATTATACATAGACTCACAAACAAACATAGGTCAACACATTAAGAAATCGATTTAAAGGATATAATTTTGTTTCTATAACTAAATGAATGAAACTAATATGCTTAAAGTAGATTGGTTAATTTTTTTCATGACCTCTCAACAGGAATACAGTAATAACAGGTAATAAGAACAGAGTAAATGCAAGAAGTTGGAGAAGAAGAAAGAGAACAGAGTAAAGACAGAACCTGGAAAAAAGAATTGGAGAAGAAGACCGTTGAAGAAGAACACTGTAAATCATAGGACTCAATCCAAAATCGTAAGAATAACAGCTTCAATGTAATCGTATATATAATGTGTTTTTGAATAAGGAAATCATTATATTCCAAAAAAATTGGAATCCTAAAATATCATCTTGTAGATTTTCGGTTATTCATCTCGAACAAAAAAGAAAGATATCATTCATATTAATTTAAAATTCCAAATTAATCGACTTGCTTATTTAATGAGTTTTAAAATTCAAACCATTATCTTAAATTGATTTATTTTATGTGGGATATAGTGAGAAATAAATTATGAATAATATTGACTTTAATTTTGACTCTCAAATATTTTGTTGATTTAATGAGATTAGATTAGATTTTATAAGTTAATAACCGAATTATTGATATGCTTATTTAATGAGTTTAAAAAAAAAAAAAAAAAAAAAAAAAAAAAAAAAAAAAAACGAGTTTGAATTTTGAAGCCAAAAGCTATAAATAGGGGAGTTAAATTAGAAGCAATATTAATTAAAGCAACTGATATCTTGTATATATATAGAATGATATGCTTCAATTGATAACGTAATTACTGAATTTAAAGATTTTATAATTAAATGTAATTTCGTTTGAATTCTATTTGGAGAAGATGATGTCAGCAATTTGATCTAAAGGTGGAAAATATGATTGAAATATCAAAGACCCTAATTGATCCATTGGAGAATTAAGGGTTCTCTTTGAATTGAATCTTATCTTTTATTTGATTGTGCAAAAGTTAAATTAACTTGTTTTAATTACGTTTACATAATTTTTAGTAAAGACAAATCTTAAAAAATGGTGTCGTAGGACGCACGCTCGCACACAAGTTCAATGGACGTGTGATATATCAAAACAAAGGTATCACGGAGGAGAACACGAACACATAATCATTTGTCCTTTTTGATTACATTAAAAGTTCGAAATTCGTGCTCAAAAATGGAGAAAATCCATTTTTGGAAATTAATAAAATTAATTTTCCAACAGCTATCGTCGTTAAAGATATCGCCGCTAATACCTTAATTTCTTGTAGTGAGTTTCTAATTATTACAATAAAAAATATATATTGGAATTATAGTTTATTTGATTAATTA